AAAGAACTATTAGAGGCATTAACCGTTCCAACGGTATCAGCAATCCGATCAATACAAGGTTCGGGGAATGGGGTTCCGTTATCCCACACAAGTTCGTCATTCACTGGAAGCTGCACACAGTACATCAGCAATTTTTAGGGAAAAAAGGGCATAAAAAACGAGTTTATCTATTAGGGTTTTTATTTATCATTTTACATTAGCTGCAAAAGAAGAGCCGAAATACATACTGGCTTGTCAGGGACGATGTGTTTGCCGACGGGGAGGCCCATGCCGGCTCGCTGACGAAGGGAGGAGGCGACGGATCGTGAAACGACGGCGTTACCGCCCATGATCTGAGATGCTACGCGCGTCAGTCTTCCTGCCATTTTCGATTTTTTCCTTTCTTTTTTCTTTTTTTCTCCTTTTACTGCGTAGATCTTCGAGTGATGAAATTGATAAATGTTCGTCCAGAAACTGGTAAAGATGAAGCTGTCAATTTTCGTTCGGGCAATTTTCTGTGACGACGTCGTTTTATTATTTGCACATTCTTAGATGAACAATAATACAGTAAGTAAATGAGTCGAGTAGAGTTTAGCTCAAACTCCTATAATATTCAAGATTGGGCAGGAGCTCGACTCAAGCCTTTGTCGTGCTCATCCGAACTTGGATCGTTAACTAAATTAGTATAGCCGAATGATATGGTAAACTATACCAACCATTAAAACAAATGTGACTTGAGAACAGCTCGAGTGGTTCGAGTAGGCCAACAATTGAGTTGGAGGTGGAACAGCATGAAGAATCAATGTCGAGAGAGACTAGGTCGATGAGGACCTCAGAGTCAAAGTGGTCGGCAATTGGTCGAGCTAAGACTCCAGAATAATAAAATTGGACCTAAAAGTGAAGAGGTCGATAGAAGAATTATAGAGTGGACATGTTAAGGGAAAACTAGAACGGTCGAGAATAGAAGGAATCGACTAGCTCGGCTATACTTAGAACAACTACCGAGCACACATTGACAAGCCAAGCTATAATAATCACATAAAAATTCATATTTTCGAGTCGAGCTTAGCTTGTTAATTGAACGAGCTCAAGCTCTACTTGTTTGAGCCAAACTTAAGTTTTCACGAGCTGAGTCGAGCTCACAACCCAGTTTGTTTAACACCTCTCATCACATCATTGTTCTCAACAAATATTTTCATTCCCCAAGTTGTAATTTAACACAAGTCTTTCAATCACTAATTTTTATTTTCTTCGTTCAGTGTTATCTATACTAACTTTTAAATAAAATTTATAATTATTGTATATATAGATCCTACAAAATTTAGTGTTACTCGCTTCAAACTATCAAATATAATTTGATCTTTATTCATATATTTGCATGCTACATGGATTTACAATCTAATAAATAATTCCACATTTTTCCTCCAATCTTTTCTACTACTATTCTAGCTGAACAAAATACTTTAAATTCCACGTCTAATCTCAATTGTGATAATTTATCCACTAGCTTAAAAAGGATTTAAGGACAAATATATACTATTTCGAGAAAAAAAGTATTCCAAATTTTCGTGTTCCTTAATTCTAAACAGAAATTATAACATAACAATTATTTTATCAAGAGTGAAATACCCATATAAATTATATATTAAACCATTATTCATCACAAAATAAGAGAAAATATAAAAAATAATATTAATATTCAAAGTTCTTTTATACTAGTCGATAATCCTTTACTACTTTAATTCATATGAATTATTATTATTTCATATAAATTATTATGATTGTCTCTTGGATTGCATGAGTTACGTACTAGTAATAAGCAAATCAAATAGATGAATAGCTAGAGTTATTACAAGCTTGCAATTCAAGTGATATATAGTTCACTCTTTCTAAGGTTAACCCGACTCTATTGAGTGGATCCAATACATCTACTTAAAAGTTAAAACAATAAATCTACTTACCATTACTATGAAAATGATAATTTCTGATAATAACGTACTGAAAAACGTGTAATTGCCTATTGGTATTCCATACTTGAGATGTTCATCTTATCACATAAAGATCATCAAATTCATATAAACATCACATTGCAGTTGGTTCTGTCAAAAACACACATTTTGTGAAGGAAAAAAAAAAAAACGTTTGAGATCGATCAAACGAACACACAACTCACTAAAACCAACAAAAATAAATTTATCAAAATTCATCAATCAAAGCCCCAACTGGCTTTGCACCTCCATAATGGTCGTAGCCGAGCTCCTGAGCTGCTTAGCTTCCTCATCCGTAAGGTGCACGTTAGCGACGCCCACCACCCCATTCCTCCCGAGCTGAGCTGGCAGGCTGAGGAAGATCTCATCCCCATCGATATCGTGAAGCCCCTTTGCAAGAACCGAGACTGGATGAATCCTCCTTTGATCCCTCAGCAATGTTCGCGCCAGGCTGGCGACAGAGTAACCAATGGCCCAAGACGTGTAGCCTTTCAAACGTATCACCTCATACGCGCTCTGCACCACTTCTTTGTGTATTTTTCTTAGTGTCTCCTCCTCAAAGGCCACTTGCTGCCTTTCTAAGGAGCTGAGGAGCGGCACGCCTCCCACGGTAATGCTCGACCAAAGGGCAACCGAGCTGTCTCCATGCTCTCCCACAACATATGCCTTAGTATATATATCAACTTATCAATATATTGTAATAAATTATAGCTAGCTCTCTGTTTAGGATGAATTATTGCTGCAAGATGTGTTCAAAAAGTACTGCTCATATTGAGTGGGGGACTTTAGATTAAAGGAGATTATTGATCAAGTGAGTGTTAATTGGAGGATTGTTTAGCTCAAGTTGTAATTTTTGTATGAAATATTAGTGAAGTGGTTGTGGGAATTTAGTTAAAGATATGATCTTTTACTTCTATTTGAGGAAAAGATCACAGTGAAGTAATCAATGGTTATTTAGCTCAAAATCTTTTACATATATTAGATGAAGATTAGTGAAGTAATCATTGTAATTTAGCTCAAAAATATGATCTTTTACATTTATTAAAGGAAGATTAGTGAAGTAAACATGGTAATTTAGCTCAAAAATTATTGTCTTTTACATTTATTAAAGGAGGATTAGTGAAGTAATCAGGGTAATACTGAAGTAATCAGGGTAATTTAGCTCAAAAATATGATTTTTTATATATATTAGAGGAAGATTAGTGAAGTAATCAGGGTAATTTAGTTCAAAAATATGATCTTATACATATACTAAAGGAAGATTAGTGAAGTAATCAGGGTAATTTGGTTGAAAATACAGTATTTGCTACATAGATTAAAGAAAAACCCTTACCTGCACATCCTGTGCATTGACATCAAGGTGATCCGCAATCAAGAACCTGAACCTGGACGAATCCAAGTTCGTGCCCGACCCGATGACCCGATTCGCCGGGAACCCGGACAGCTTCCACGCCACGTAGGTCAGCACGTCGACCGGGTTGGAGACGACCATGATAATGCAGTCCGGCGAGTACTTGGCCAGCGGCGGCACGATGTGCCGGAAAAGGGCCACATTCCGGTGGATCAGGTTGAGCCTGCTCTCGCCGGGGTTCTGGCGGGCGCCGGCGGTGACGATGCAGAGGTCCGATCCGGCGGTGGCGGCGTAGTCGAGGGATGCGGTGATCCTGGTGCGGGGGAGGAAGGCGGCGGCGTGCTGGAGATCGAGCACCTCGCCGCGGAGCTTGTCCTCCTTGGCGTCGACGAGGACGATCTCGTCGGCGAGGTCCTGGGTGAGGATGGTCTGGGCGATGGCCATGCCCACGTTGCCGACGCCGATGACGGTGATCTTTGTGGGCCGCCGGGAGGGGGACGGCGTCGATCCTCCGGGGATGGGGGTGAAGAAGGTGTTGGAGAGGTCGAGGCCGCCGGGGCCCAGGGAGGAGCAAGACGAGCTTTTCTCCATTGCCGATTTACTGTGTCTGTGTGTTTTTGTGTGTGAAATTACAGTGAGATGTGAGATTTAACGCCGGTTATTAATAGAAGGTGAAGAGTCAAACGTCGATTTTGACTTTTCTGACAGATTGGGGGTTTTTTCCTTTATGGGCAGCCAATCCCTTTCCTTTATTCACCATTTTTTCCTTTTCCCCCTTTTTTCTTTATTTTTTATTTTTGTTCCGGCCAAATTAGGGTTTTTTTCTTGCTCTACCGATTTCCGGCTCAGAGAATCTCCGACGAGCCCGTTAAATTCATGCAAGCTCGGTGATTAGTCGTGCTAAACAGACACAACAGACATTTTAATAACTAGATTATAGTTATTTGATTAGTTTATAGACTTTCTGAATTCAAATAAATTTTATTTGATCCGACGAACTTAATAAAAAAATCGAGTTTATCTCATAAATTTTCTTAGGTATTTTTGAAATAAGCTAATTGAAAATTTTATTTTAGCTAGCTTATCAGCTAATTTATCAACCACATTTATCATATAAACTAGTTTTTCAGTCATAAATTATAAACTATCAAGCTCGAAATTCACTTAAAAACTATAAGTTAGCTTATCAGTTAAGTTTACTTAGCAATAGCATGTAGTATAAATTTAGATATAAAACAAATGGCAAGATATATAAACAACAGAACTGAAGGAAATACCTCATCTTTCATATTTTATTGCCTTAAAACACTCATGTGTTACATGAGATAAAACACAAGACAAAGCTTGTTTTGTTTTATCAAAAGAACGTTTAACGATTCTTACATATAGCATATACTTCCTTTCTCGGTCAAAGAAAATACAAATCTCTCTCACATAACACAACAGTTCTGTTGAGACTCGAGCATCTCTGGAGACCTGCACGAGGCAAAAAGCAAATGTTCTGTTATT